AATGTGGAGTTGTATTGAGTATTGACAGGTAGATTGCTGATACATAGGTTAATGGTCCTGGTGGAAAAAGAAAAAAGAAAAAAGGCTGATCCTTGGCCTCTCATGTGTTGGCTCTGCGAACAGCCAAGCAGAAAAAATAATTTGTGGGACATATCCTCCTAATACGCCCTCATATTTCTAAATTGGAAAAACAATTAGTTGGTTTTACAAGCTGTGTACGAAAACTTATAATACAAACATGATTTTGATGGCTACAGAAGCAATCAGGCAACAAACAGCTCAGCTTGCCCATCAATGAAGAGGCTCATGAATTCTTCCCCATCAACAGTTTCTTTCTCTATGAGGAGTTGAGCAAGCTTGTGAAGTATGTCGATATGGGTTGTGACGATCTGCTTGGCCCTTGAATATGCCTTCTCTACTAGTTCCCTTACCTCCGAGTCTACCACATCTGCGGTTGCCATGGAGTAGTCTTTCTGAGAAGACATCTGCAATGGAAACAGGCAAATCCATCATTATGACAATGTTCATAATGCAGAAGGACTTACGGTCATGATAGAGTAATGACTACTAAAATATATTAATAATCTTACTTGTTGACCCAAGAAGGGATTTCCACCAGGTCCACCAATGGCAACTTGTCCAATTTTTTTACTGAACCCAAATCTCTCAACCATCTGCCTTGCTACCCGTGAAACTTGCATGAAGTCATTTGATGCTCCTGTTGTCACATTTTCCTGACCAAAAATTACCTCTTCCGCAACCCTGCATCGGTATAAGGAGTTTGTCAGATGAAATGAGGTTGAATGCTGAGATTTACGAAGATCTTGCTCTTCTTGTTCAAATAAATGTCTCAAGATTCCATGAATCCAGCCCATTTGGTTTGAGTTTGAATAAGAACCATAGGGGGAAACTGATATAGTTATTATATAAACTCTCTTCAAGAGCAACAAAAACACCAATAATGTTTATAATGCTAACCAAAGCATTAACCAAGATGAACTAACCTTCCACCAAGTGCAACAGCCATCTGATTCTCCAGGTAGCTCCTGCTGTACAGTCCAGACTCAAGCCTCTCTTCACTTGGAGCGAAAAAGGTAAGACCACCAGCTTGGCCACGGGGAATGATGGATATCTTGGCTACAGGATCGTACTCAGGCATGAGTGCACCAACTAAAGCATGGCCAGCCTCTGCAATTTGGAGTACACATACAGAGTTAAACACTCAAAAGCAACTTGCAGCTGAAAAAGCAAGGCAAAAATAGAAAATTCAAATAATAACTACCATGATAGGCAACTAATTTCTTTTTCTCATCTGAGACGACTGCATTTTTTTTCTCAGGTCCAGCAATGATCCTCTCAAGAGCATCAGAAATTTCATCTTTACTTATTTCCTTGAGGTCACGCCTGGCTGCAAGAATGGCTGCCTCATTCATCAGGTTCTGCAAGTCAGCTCCAGTAAAACCTGGAGTTCTTCTAGCAATTTTTTCAAAATCCACATCCTTTCCAAGTGCCTTTCCTCTTGAGTGCACCTGTAAGGGAGACAAAAAGGGGTTAGGAGATACAAAACAGGTTCACATGTCTTCGACTGGACCACACGATCAAAACAACTTGTATCAGTAAGTTCAAACCGCCCAACACAAAAGAAGAATTTGATCAACATCAAAGGCAAAGATTTGTATTTGAAACAGACTTCAAACTATCAATACTGTTTACACAAGGACAGACACTGTTACAGATATACAAGTAAAGCTCGCAAACTATATATAAATAGCTATTGCATATTAGTTGGCAAACTACCTCCTATAAAATGACACAGTTAGTTATATTCACATGTATCTCCATATATCTCAAAATAATTTGTTAAGTACAAAAAAACCTTCTAAATCTTTGATAATGCAAATATTCTATATCAACTCTAAACAAGTGAGTTAAACTACAAAACTTACTTAAGGTAAAAAGCAAAGTTTGTACAATGCTTACCTGAAGAATCTTAACTCTACCAGCAACATCAGGCCTGTCAACGGTAACTTGCCTATCAAACCTCCCAGGCCTCAACAAAGCCGAATCAAGAACATCCGGTCTATTAGTGGCGGCCAATACAATAACACCAGAATTACCTGAAAAACCATCCATTTCAGTCAAAAGCTGATTAATTGTCTGCTCTCTCTCATCGTTTCCTCCTCCAAGCCCTGCCCCCCGCTGTCTCCCAACAGCATCAATTTCATCAATGAACACAATGCAGGGAGCCTTCGATTTCGCTTTCTCAAACAAATCCCTCACTCTTGATGCACCAACACCAACAAACAACTCAACAAACTCTGAAGCTGCGCATGAGAAAAAGGGAACTCCGGCTTCTCCAGCAACCGCTCTTGCCAACAAAGTTTTACCAGTTCCTGGTGGTCCTACTAACAAACACCCTTTTGGAATTTTAGCTCCTAAAGCTGTATACTTATCAGGATTTTTCAAAAAATCTACAACTTCTTGTAACTCCAACTTTGCTTGGTCAGCACCAGCCACATCAGCAAATGTAACACCAGTTTCAGGAACTTCCTGGAATTTGGATTTTGATCTTCCAAAATCCATGGGACCCCCTAATCCGCCTGGACCACCAGGCCCGCCCTGAGCCCGACGGAAAAGGAAGAACAAACCAGCGAAGGCTAGAAACGGGAACAATAAATTCCCGATGAAGTTAAAAAGTCCATTACCGGAATCACCCTCGGAGACCGAAATATCGACACCGTTCATGGCTAAAATGTCGATTAGGTCCGGGTCATTGGGGACAATAACACTGGCACGGCGGCCATCCACGGCTGTCAACTGAAGGGCAGAACCGTCTTTGCTGAACCTGACTCTTTCAATTTTACCCTTCTTGACAGCGTTTAAGAATTCGCTGTATCGCCATTGGCTGCCTTCAGGGAGGTCAGAGGATTGAGACTGGGGTTTAGGTGCTGTTAGGAGAAGGTTTTGAGCGAAAGGTGAAGAATTTGAAGGGCTAGGCCTCGTGGGCTGGGCTTCGATTACCGGTGGTGGTGTGTTATCAACGGCTAGAGCTTGTGGGGTTAGCGAAGACACTACCAAAGCAGCTAAAGTGGCTTCAGTTGATAATTTTTTCGTTTGCGACGATGATGAATTTGGTTCTTTCTTGTTGAGGATTGAGTGAAAATTTTGGGACCTTCTATTTCCACAGAAGAATGGGAAAGATAGTGGGGATTTGGTAGTTTTGGGAGTTGGAGGCGAGATTAGGATTTGAGAACCAAAGAAGTTAGAAGAGAGCAATGGGTTGGTTGTTGAAGCCATGGCTGTATGGTCTCTTAGATTCGCTTCCCTCTATCACTCTTTATATTATCTCCTCAAATTGGAGTTGATGATGAGGGTGAGGTTACAGCGTACGCAATCCTGGAATGTTGCGTACACAATTACGTAAATATATTGAGGGCTGATTTGGTAGTATGACTATGAACTATGAAGTGCTGAAAATTTTGTACATTGAACTTGCAGTTCGAGAGGTAATAAGAGTGTTAAGTTGGTTTACTCCAAGCCATATGTCTAAGTGTTGCTTGTTTGCTTCCACGTGTGCGATATAATATCCAGTCACTTTGATCTTTTTGTAAACAACTATTCCAATCAATGTGCACTTCTTTTTTTTTTTTCTTTCCTTTAATTATTTTTATTGTACAAAAGGCTAAATGGAGTAATTTGACTAATTTCTTAACCAAAAACCATTATTAGGTTTCGAAGAATTAATTAAGATATGCCGCAAACTCGGACACCCAATAAAAAAAAAATATATTGACTAACCCACACATGGTCCTGGCCGAAACTAAAAGGCCCAACACCAATTTAATCAAAACCAAACAGCTGGTCATTGATCTCAAAGGGATGCAATCCAAGCGCGTAGCTTCTGAAGAGGAGAGAAAGGAGGAAGAGACTGACAACTTGAAAAAAATTGATGAAGATTTGAAAGCTATAAGAATTTGAAGGCACTAGAATCAACAGTTCAAGAAATTGAGGTGGAATTGGAGTGTGTTTTCAGGTGTTTGATTAGGATAAGAGTGTCTCTTCTCAACACTCTTTAACCACTAGTATATCTCCATGAAGTCATGAAGACAAGTATATTTTTTTTTATCTCCAATGGCATCCCCGGTTTTTAAAAAGGGTTTGCAGTGCTATTATTGTAGGGAGGATGCATGCTGCCTACCTTGATTGACCAAACCCTTTGGTTGGCAAGAAATAAGAGTTGTTGCTGATTCAGGAATGATCAAAATCATGCAAGTATGTACATTTAATTCTGATTAAGCTCAAGGCCATAATAATTGCTCGTGTTCTGAAAGTATAAATTAGTTTTTTTCATAGTATTATACTGCAATATGCATGGTTGAACGATATTGTTATGATTCTGATATCATTACTATCTGGGAAGCACAGTGGCATACCATTCATGTGAATCTGCATCTTACTTCTTTAAAGTTAATTAATTGTAATCTCTCGCCCAATAATGCAAAAATAATATGAAATTAGTGCAACTGTTGGTAGATCAACAGCATAATTGACTTCAATTAATTGATCCCACTGTGCATTCAGGTTGAAGCTAGGTATTAAAAGGAGCACCAGGCTGTCAAGATTCTTCTTGTTCACATACGCAATGCTATGATGGATCTTTTGTCTGGCTACGATAATGGCTGAATGTGGAGAATTCAATTAAGAAATCCGATTGCAGGTGATGATATTGATTCTGCCTGGGAGGCAGGGGTGCATGCTCCTCGTGTGAAGCCATAAATTATTATGTTTTGGTCGATATTTGATTAGTGTCAACTCTCTATGATGTCGCCGTAATTTTAGGAAGCTCCATCACATGATTATTAGAAGAAGCCCTTCAGAAATGTGACTCCTTGTCTACTCTATAACTCTATATATATTGCTCTTTTATTTCAGAGAACCCATCCAACTTCAGCAGTTGGTCTCTCTTAAATTGGATTTTAGCTTTCCTATCAAAGAAGAAGATGGCCCCAAAGGTTGGTTCACATACTCGTTCTAGCAGTTTACCTTCAAGATCTCACCCTGTAACTTCCAAAGTGGAGGAGCATTTGAACAGGTTAAAGGCCTCAGAAGCCACATCAACATCATCAGTATGCTACAAATTGAGAGCACTCGAAGACTTATATGAGTGTGTTGATGATATGCTTCAGTTGCCAGTCGTCCAACAAATCCTGTCCAATAATTGTCATGACAAATGCATCGAAAATCTGTTGGATGGATCCCTCACGGTGTTGGATGTGTGTAGCTCAACGAAAGACATCTTGTCACAGCTAAAGGATTCTGTTCAAAATTTTGAATCTTCCCTACGAAGAAAGAGAGGAGAAACTGGCCTTGCTAATGAAGTTAGAAACTACATGAACTCTCGAAAAAACATCAATAGGGTGGTCTGCAAGATTCTCAGAAATTTGAAGGGAAACGAAAAGAAACAGCTTCTTGACAAGGACTGCAATCTTCTAGCTGTTGTTGGCATTCTAAGAGAAGTTGAAGAGATTAGCTTCTTAGTTTTTGAGTCCGTCTTATCATCCATTTCTCAGTCCAAGGCAAGAGCAAAGCCTGGAAGCTGGTTCATCATTTCAAAGTTGATGCGACCAAAACGAATAGTTTGCGAAGGAGAAGTTGAGGAGATTGATGAATTGGATGTTGTAAATGTGGGCAAATGCACAAGTTTTGAGCGATTGCAAATTTTGCTCAAGTCTTTGAAGGCATTAGAATCAAACATCCAGGATCTTGAGGATGGATTGGAGAGGATGTATCGGCGTCTTATCAAAAGCAGAGTCGCCCTTCTCAATATTCTCAGCCAATAGTTCTTGACCTCAGGACGTCAATGCTAATCTTAGTACTTCAACGGCATTCCTATTTTTTGAAAGGAACTGCCTTGAAATTTTTACATACCATATTGTAAATCAATACATAAAATATTGTACATGACACTTGGAGTTGAATATATCTGATGCCAACCATTGATCTCATATCTCAGCTTATTTTTAGTTTTAATATTTATTTTACTTTACTTTCTTGGATATGAAAGAATCAAATTTGGAAGCAAACAGAACACATAATTGCAAATTAGACAATTACAAAGAAGAAAGAAAGTATGTTTTGTATAATAATTAAGCAAGACATCATCAATTGTTCCATCTTCTTAATACTCAGATTTGTTTAAATGAACAAGAACATCTTTACAGCCATAGATACCCTTGGTCCTTCGTCTTTTATATGTTAAATTGTAACAGGTCAATTCATGTATTGCATAATTTTACATTTACAGTTAATGTACTGAACTCAGTAATAACTTATTGCAATAATGCAACAGCTATTGCATTTCTGATTTGAAGGGTGTGGCAGAATGCATGTTACCTAACCTTCATTGAGCTCCGTTGGCAGTCCACTTGGAAAAAATAAAACCTGAGTGGTTGCTGATTCAATGAAATTATCAAAATCATTTAGCTAAACGCCACCATGATTCCTCATGTTTTAAGAGAGCTAAATTATTATTGTTGAGAGTATTATACTGCAATATGCATGGATGAACGATATAGTCAAGATACTGGACTCATTACTGTCTGGGAAGATCATTGGCATGCTAATTGTGTGCATCTGCATTTTATTTCCTTTAAGTTTATTAACTATTATCACTCCCCCAATAATGCAAAAGTAATGTGGTATTGCTGCAACTGTTTGAAGATCCAAGGCAGGACAGCAATGGTGTTTACAACATATTTGAAATTAATAATTCTGAAATGAGGTTATTTGAATCTTGAAAGTTAAAAGCATAATTGACTTCAATTAATTGACCCCATAACACCATCAAGTTGACAATAAGTATCACTAAATTAAGCTAAGCACTAGGTCGTCAAGGTTCATATTGGATCTTTTGTCTGGCTATAATAATGAATAAAAGTGAGAAATTCAATTAAGAAATTAGATTGTCGGTGATGTTTATTGATTCTGTCTGGGAGGCAGGTGGCAGGCTACTCGTGTGAAGATATAATTTATCCTGTTTTGATCCATATTTGATCAGTTTTGAACCTCTCTGATGCAATTATATTGGTGAGATGTCGCCGTAATTGTAGGAAGCTCCACCACATGATTGATGAAGCCCTTAAGAATTAGACTCCTTGTCTATCTCATGTCTCTATACCTCTACATATAGCTCTTTCGTTTAAGAGGAACTATCAACTTCAGTACTACGTCTGTCCCAAATTGAGATTTAGCTTTCCTATCAAAGAGGAAAATGGCCCCAAAAGTTGGTTCACATGCTCGTTCAAACAGTCTGCCTCCAAGATCTCATCCTGCAACATTGAACTTGGAAGAGCATTTGAACAAGTTAAAGGCCTCAAGCCACATCAACATCATCAGTATGCTACAAATTGAGAGCACTCGAAGATTTATATGAGTGTGTTGATATATGCTTCAGTTGCCGTTGGTCCAACAGTTTTATCCAATGATCGTCACGACAAATGCATCGAAAATGTGTTGGATGGATCCTTCCAAGGCATCGGATATGTGTGCTCTACTAAAGACATCTTGTCGCAGATGAAGGAATCTCTTCAAAATTTGAGTCACCTCTCCAAAGAAAAAGAGGAGAAACTAGCCTCGCCAATGAAGTTAGAATCTATATGATCTCAAGAAAAAACATCAATAACTTAGTTTGCAAGACTGTCAAGAATCTGAAGGGAAACGAGAAAAAACACTGTTCGTTTTTATGATGCTGGTTATTCAAAGAAGAGAGAGATAAAAAACTAAAACTGGACATCAATTTTCATTAGACAAAATCTGCATATAACATACTTCTTCTCACTGTTTCACACACCATCAGAATACTTTTCCTTAATCTCAGCTAAACCACTCAAAAAACTAACAACTTCATTACAAAGACTGAGCCAATAAATAAAAGATTAACATTAAATTACAGTAATCTTAAGCCACTGAACCGTGAAGCACTCCCATGCACGTCCATGCAGAGCAAAACTTTTCCAGGTTTTTCATACAATCGGCAAACCAAACTTCCAGCACAGCATCAACCTTCAACACTCCACCTTGGTGCTTTGGCTGGAAACACCAAGTTTTAGCCTCAAGGCTTCAAACTTGATTTGCATATGCCTTTGTCATGATATCTGTAACCTGGTCTTCCCCTCGGCAGTGAACTAAGTTCCCTTCTCCACACTGTTCAGCTTCCCTAACAGCTGATTATTAATCTTAATATGCTTTGTTCTGCCGTGAAGTACAGGGTTCTTTGCCATTGCTACAGCTGACTGGTTATCACACAAAATCAAAGTAGATCCATTTGCATTTGCTGTAAGTCATTCAGCATCTTCCTAAGCCACCCAGCCTGGTTCACAGCTGCTGCGGCACTGAGCCACAGTTTCCTGCTTCCTTGACAGCCAACTGATTGCACCCTCATTCAGGTAGAACACGTAAAAAGAGGTGCTCTTGCATCATCCAGGGTCCACCCCAGTCACTGTCAGTGTACCCCATCAGCTTCAGACTTTCGGATTTCCTGAACCAATGCCTAACATGCAGGTTCCTTTCACATACCTCACATACGTTTGGCAGCTTTAAGGTGCAATTCACTTCGGTTGCTCATAAACCTTGAGAGGTAACTTGCTGTAAACATAAGGTTAGGTCTGGTGGCTGTATAATACAACAGACTCCCACTAAGCTTCTGTATTTCCCTTCATCAACTCTCTCTGCACCATCTGTTTTGCTTAACTTCAAGTTGGGAACCAGAGGGGTATTCACTGTTTGCAGTTCTCCATTCCAAACCTTGAGAGAAGCTCGGTTGCATACCTTTGTTGACAAACAAAAATCTCCCCAACAGCTCGAGTTATCTCTATGCCAAGGAGTACTTCCTCAATCCCAAATCTGTCATTTCAAATTCACTTGCATATCCAACTTGAATGGTCCAATTCATCAGGATTACTCCCTGTCACCAACAATCACAACGTATAAAAGACCACACACTCCCTTTCAGTTTTCCTAATGTAGAGGTGTGTTCATTAGGACTTCTAATATATCCAAGGCTGCTATAATGGTTATTATTCGGCTGTACCAGGCTCTAGGTCCGCTCAAGCCATAATATGCCTTCCTCAGTAGGTACACATGGTCCCCTTTCCCTCAACCTGTAGCCTTCGGTTGCTCTACATACAACTCCTCTGAAATCCATCCATTCAGGAATGCAGACTTGACATCCAGCTGAAATTTTCCAGTTGAACTGAGCTGCAAGAGCCAACAACAGCCTGATTGTGTCTTGCCTAGCAACCGGGGCAAAGGTTTCTGAAAAATCAATGCCTGGTTGCTGTGCAAAGCCCTTCACCACCAACCTTGCTTTATGCTTGTAGATTGAGCCATCAGGGTTGATTTTCAGTTTAAAATCCTTTAACCTGAATGACTTTTCTTTTTTCATCTAGGTACCAGTTTCCAGGTTTGATCTTATTGATCATGCTCAATTCTTCCTGCATTGCACCTCCAAACTCAATTTTGCAGCATCAAAATAGCATCTTGGCTCCACCACTGCCGTATTACACCTTTCATCACATCAGCCAAGGTTCTAGTTCCTCTTACAGCATGATCTTCTTCCTTATTTGAATCTGCCTCTTGAATCAGTCCCTCTCTTCTCTCATCTTGACTTGATTCAACCTGCACATCAACCCTTTGTTCTTCCAATTCCAGACTCCACATTCAACCTTAATGTCCCTTGTGACTACAATCCTTTTGGACTCAGGAACATAACTCTATAGGCTTTAGAGTTGCTGCTGTAGCCTTAAATATCCCAATTTCTGCCTTGTCATCCAACTTAACCTTTTGCTGGCTGGGATCATTACACAGGCTATACTTCCAAATTCTTTCAGGTTCCCTACTGTTGGCTTGATTCCAGTCCATGCCTCAATTGGTGTTTGATGTTTGACAGCCTTGGTGGGCAGCCTATTCAGCAGGAAAACTGCTGCATTGACAGCTTCTCCCCAGAACACTTTAGGGAGGCTTTTTCCAGTCATCATACACCTGGCCATTTCCATAATAGTTCGTTTCTTCTCTCACAAACACCATTCTGCTGAGGGGTATATGTGCTGAGAACTGCTGCTGTATTCCAGCTAGGCTGCAGATTGTCTTGAACTCATTTGCGGTGTACTCAGTTCCATTGTCTGTCCTTACTGCTTTGATCAAGGTTCCAACTTAATTCTCCACCAGCAACTTGAATTGTTTGAACACAGCAGCCTCTTCATTTTTCTGCTTCAAGAATAGACCCAACCACCCTTGAAAAATCATCAATGAAGAGTACAAAGTACCTGCTGCATTTAGAGATTTCGTTCTTCATAGGGCCACACACATCCGAGTGGATCAATTGCAACTTGTGACTTGCTCTCCAGGCTTGATCCGAAGGAATGGTGGCCTGCTAATTTGCCAAGTTGGCAGGCTGTGCACAAAGTCCTTTTCTCTTCTATTTCGGGTAGGTCTAATACCATGTCCCTTGACTTGAGTTCTTTGATTCCAAGGTAATGAAAATGTCCAAGCCCTCTATGCCATAACTCAGACTCTTCAACCTTGGTGATTAATGCTGAGTTTTCTGGTTTTTCCAGTCTAGTGGAAAGCTTTTGTCAAGCATTCCTTACACTCAACAACTCCTTTCCTTCTCTATCCTTTATAATGCAAGAATTGTTTTGGAAATGCAAGGTAAAATTTTTCTCTAACATTTGACCACACTTAACAAGTTTTTTGCAATTTTAGGTACAAACAAAACGTTAGAAATAACCTTAGTTCCGCCTTAGTTTGACTACCACATCTCCAATCCCTCTTGCTTCTACAT